AGGGGACAGCTTAATTTAAGCATTAATTGTGTGTGTGTGGGTTGGGGGAGGCGGTGCGGATATGCTGTGGAGCTGTGGAGAAATGTCCTTCTTGGAGTATTGTGTATTGAGGTGCTTTTCCCATATTTCAGACTGTGGAGGCAACGTCACACTAGGGTGACTTGCCAAGCCCTGTGGTCTTGGGCGCTGGGAGTGGGCCATGTGTACTTCCTTCCTGGTCCTCAGTTTCCCACAAAGCACAGTTACACTCTGACGTATCACCTGAGTGAGAGATTAAAAGATTGTATTGAAGTCTGACTAATTTGTACTTGGCTTTGTAGCCTACATTTATTCAATAGATGATGGAAACTCATTAAAAGTTTTTTAACAGTAGAATGACCATCAGAAAAAATAACATATACATTCACATGTAAAAAATATATATATGTAAAGAATATATACATTCATTTATATTATATATTCATTTGTGTGAAGGTAAAACAAAACTTTATCCACTTCTGTATTAGAATTTGATCTTCCATTAATTCTCTAGCTCTGTTTCTCTGATAACGTAGATTATTAACATATTTTAGGCAGTATTGCTTTTGACAGACTACTGCCATAGAGTTGATTCAGACTTTAGTGAACATATGATATAGCGTAGGATTACTTCTTAGTGTTTCCACAACTATACACCTTTACAGGAGCAGATAGGCTGTTGCTTCTCAATTGAGTGGCTAGTGAGTTTGGACCACCGAACTTGGGTTGGTACCTTTCTCCTTAACCCATTGTACTACCAGGGATCTATTGCTTATAATAAAGCATAAACTGTAGAGACTGCATGAGTATGCCACTTTAGGCTCCCTGAATGCAGTGATTCTTGTCAGAAAGGGCGTATTCCTTGAGCGGACTCATAGTTAGGTTTTGTGACAACTTGGTGGATCAGAATTCTCAATAGGTAGGCAGTTGGTGCACAGCCAATGATATGCCCTAACGGTTAGATCCTAATCTAATGTAATATTACTCCATGATGGGTTCTATTGTAAGCAGACACATAGTTTTAAGAAGATTTGGGAAGAATATAATAAAAAGAAAGTTTCTTTTTAGGGTGTAGCTTACTCCAAATAAGTAAATGTTGCGAAGAGCTTCTACACTTTTTGTGGGTCTCTATCCAACATGGTCATTAACCTTGGCTCTTGGGACTTGTGCTTTTGGCCCAGCATATTGCCTGCTGAGTTAGTTAGTTGTGCCAACCTCCCTGATAAACACATGTGGGGCTAATTGAAAGGCGGAGGGATAAATGAGTGGTGAGCCTCGCCTTTCTAGTTCTTGGGTCTCTTGCTTTGTGATGGTCGCACCAGGGTGCAGCTGCCTTAGCAGCTTCCTGCTTCAGCTTGCAAGATTGACTTCCTACAAGACATCCCCAAGGAGAAGCCACATGGACCTATCCCGATGCAGCCCTGGGTGCTGGAGCAGCCATATGGAGACCCCTGCTAGTGCTGAGATGCTTATTCGTTCACTGACTCAGCTTTCCTCCTGCAGTTGGCATCATTGCCTCTGTTTTGTGAGGTGGAGGGCTTTGTGGACTGGTATTGGGTTAATGGGCTAATGTTGGACTTGTGGGCTTGGGCAGCATTGGGTTGGGATGTTTTCATGATGCACACTTTCTTTACATAAAACTCTCTTATACATGAGTTGCTGTGGATTTGTTTCTCTAAAGTACCTAGGCTAATACACCTGCTGACCCTGGGGAGCCATCAGATCTTAACATCTGATATGTTGATATTGGTCTCAGAAGCCTCTGAATATACCAGCTGTGGTCTGTCTTCTTCATTTTTGTGCTTTCTGGTTCATTGTCCCCAGCAGCTACGGAGTCAGGAAAAGCCTCCTGTTTAAGATCTGACCAGGAATTTAAGCCAGACCAGACCTGCCCATTTCTACAACTGTGTAATCTATTTCCTTAATATACATTTCTCCCTCTTTCCTTTCTCACTTCTTTCTGTCCCTCCCTCCCTCCCACCCTCCACCTTCTCTTCCTCCCTTCCTTCCAGCTATACAAAAATTGCTTCACTTCTGGAGAGAACCCAGCCTAACACAAAAACCCTGGAAGATATGCTTATGGAGTGATTATGAGGAGTTCTGGCTTTGCGGAACATAAAACTTCTAAACCAAGATGTTTTCTGTCTCTTTTAATGAGAGTCTTATGTGCATGCACTTGAGCTACCACCTGCTTGGACTACTGCAGGGACTTCCATTGAAGAGAAATGTCTCATGTACTATTTAGAAGCTTTTAAACAGTCATATATCTACTAATTCGTTTTGTGTTATGTTTTCCAAGAATTGACAATATATGGAAAGTAAGGAATATAGAAATATATAAAATATAATCCTGAGTAAATAGATGCTTAAGATGTGTGTATGTATATACACACACACATGCTTACACACATCTTTAATAATAATATAGCTTAATAATATAGGTTTGCATTGATTGTGCAGTTTGTGGAGGGGGTAGGTAAAGAATAATGGAGAGAAAACAAATAGCAAAATATGTGATTATATTGATTTAAAACATTACCTGTGGGTATATAACTAAAGATATGTGGTATACTAGTTATCAGAATGGTAATGCTGATTAATATCTTAGTTATTTTAGTGCTGCTATAACAAAACCCCCAAGTGGAGGGCTTAACAAACAGAGTTATTTTCTCCCCGCTTAGGTGGCTAGAGGTTTGGATTCAGAGTACTAGATCTGGAGGAAAGGCCCCTGTGGGTCAGGGCAGTGTCTTCTCAGCTGTGTCCTGTCTGGGAAATCTATGGCACTATTTCACTCCGGCCTCACTTAGGCTCTATGAGAAGGAACCTCAACAGCACAGAGCCACGGCATGCTAACTGTATCATCACATTTCATCTTAACACCCGCTTTGTCGTTAGATGTCTTAGTTTGCTAGGGCTGATGTAAACATCAGTGCTGAAAATGATTGGCCATAAAGAAAATAAATTTCCTTTCTCACAGTTCAGGAGACAAGAAATCAAACTAAAACATACAAACACTAGCATGTAGCTCTTCTTTGTCTATGTCAGCTTCTAGAAGCCAGCGATTCTTAAGAGTTCCTGGGCTTAAAAATCCATGCTTTGTCACCATCAGATTGAGGTGCCTTCCACCTGTAGGTGCCTATGTTGGGAACCAATAGCTTCACGTTTTGATTTTTTAAAAATTTTGTAGCAATAGGCTTAGACATACTGAGTATAATAGGCTATATCATTTACCCTTGCTTAGTAAAGTGGAGGGGCCGTGAAAAACAAGATCCTCAACAAGATGGATTGACACAGTGGCGACAGTAGTGAGCTCAAACATGGCAACATTTGCTGGATGGGTCAAGACTGCTGCTTATTTCCTTCTGTTGTGCATAGGGACACTCTGAGTCAGAACTGACTTGCTGGCACCTGTGTTAGGCCAGGTTGTCTAATGTAACAAATTCAGTGAAATATATGTATAAAAAAGAGCATTCTATGAAGAAGTAATGATATATCAAGAAGACATCCCAGCCCAGTCCTTAAGTTTCTCTTCAGATTCACATTGCTACAGGCAGGTGTCGCAGAAAAGTGAAGCAGGAAATAGGAAGATTACAGGCTGATAGGTGCCATCATGTGAATCCAAGGTTGATGGGGCTGTGCTAGGGTGGCGGCAGCTCTCAGGGTTGGCAATATATGGGGCCACCCCTGGAAGCAGGCAGAATTCCAGCAGGCAGGAAGGCAAAGGGGCAGAAAGAGAGACAGGGAGGTTCCTAGTTTCTTCTTTTTTTCCCAATTAAAAAAAAATTATTGACAAACTAAGAGTTAACTAAAGGCAAGAATCCTGACACCGGGGGCTACTGTCTCTGCCCTGCAAAATAAATTAACCTCCGTCAAAAGACAACTGAAGACGGATGCTAGGATTAACTTTTAAAAAAATACAAGAAAACCTCACAGAATGAGATGGACTGGGCTGCAGCTGGGCCTTCTGGACACAATGTCCCCACACCCCCAAAGGTGGTTGGCTTCCTGGGGAGGTAATATTCCCTCAACAGCCAGTTGGTCCTCAGAAACCTTGGGGCTGGGCCACTGACCTATCCTAGCAAAGATCATTTTTGCAAGGGCACTCCCCTTGACCCCTACCCCCCGATTCTTGCTCCCCTTTTCCCCCAGTTTCTTCTTATAAGAAGTCCACACCCCCAAGGGGCTTCATCAGGCTGTGACAGATTGGACTCTACCCTACACTTTCATAAAAATTCAAGTTAACATAAAATCATCTACCACAGCCTGTATCAACAACACTTAGTAGCTGAGAGCCCTGCTAGAGCATGAGGTAAGCTTTTGACTGGTGATTTGAATCCACCCAGCTAAGAGAGAATGACCTGTTTATTTGTTCCTGTAAACATCACAGCATAGGAAACCCTATGTACCAGTTCTGGTCTGTCACACAAGGTCACTATAATTCAGAATTCACTTGATGGCACACAATAAGAATAACTCTTAGCAGCTAGGATTTTAAGACGTTTCTGAGATGTTGAATCCCCCAAACCAAACCCACTACCATCAAGTCAGCTCCAATTTATAATGACCCCAAATAGGGTTTCTAAACCTGTACATATTGGCAGGAGCAGACAACTTCAACTTTCTCACACAGAGTGGCTGGTTTGAACCCACGACTTGAAGTTAGCAGTCTAGTGTTTACCTGATGACAAGGCTCAAATTTAAGAATCTGTTACTGTCTATAGATTTTCACATACCCCCCCCCCCAAATTAAACTTGTTTGAGAGGCTGCGTATGCATGACTGCTGCAAATGTTTAATATGTGTGTCTGTCTGTCTGTCTGTATAATCACTTCTGTTTTTAAAGTATAAGATAATGTTTACATCTGAATCCTATTTCTGCACAATTATAATAAGTTGGCTTCTTTCTAAAATGTATTTGGTGAAAAATTGGAAATTGAACAGTTACAGTGCATTCATTACATTTTTTTAATCCTTCCTATTTAGGTTATCTTCACTGTAATGAATCTGATCGTCTGCGGTCAAGGTGGCTCAGGCAGACGCTGGAATCTTTCATCCCGCAGCCTTTGGTGAACGTAATTAAAGTGTCAGAATTGGATGGCAGAGAGATGGGAGATGCCCAGCCTGAAACATTTGACAAGGTACTTTTATTCCGTTGTGATAAACTGATGACTCCAAATGATACTACAGTTGTTACACTGCTTTGTTGTTGCTTTCCATCAGCTCCCAGACACAGCCCATGCAGTTTTCCACTACGCTGGGAAAGTTGGATAATGAACATGGAAGTAGTTTTATTTGATGATCAGCATGGTTCAAAGGAAAGGGCACCCAGGCACTTGAAGATTATAGGATGTTTTATATTTCCAGGTACTTCAAAGATACTTGGGAAGAGATTAGATATAATCTGGGTCAGAACACAAACATGTACACTGCATTGCTTTAATTCAGCCATACTTTATATCACATTTTGACAATTGAAGCATTTCAGGAAATCAAAATTAAAATATTAATTCTTAAAAATAAATGCTAAGAATTCAGAAGTTCAGTAGTGTCTGCTTAAAGGAGTAATTTTGTTAAAAATGTTGATGTAGGAGGTAAGATTATCACATAACATTAGTAGACATGATAATAGAATCCCTTCCCCTGCATAAAAAAATATAAAGTAAATAGTGCAACTACACAGGACATTTTGGGGGGAGGGGGAGTGAGGATATATATATATATATATATATATATAATTAATTATACACACACACAAATGGCCTAAAGAATGTAGGCGTCTTTTTTATTTTAAAAATAATTTTACTTATATGCGCATGTTTTCCCATGTTTTACTTTGTTTCCTTACATACATCTGGCCTGAAGATAGCGTTTCAGTGCATACTGGCATTATTTGCCCTCTTTTCTTCAGGTGTTAGTTGATGCCCCATGCTCAAATGATCGCAGTTGGTTGTTCTCTTCTGACTCTCAGAAGGCAGCCTGTAGGATAAGCCAGAGGAGGAAGTTGCCGACTCTACAGATAGAACTCTTAAGGTAAGCACTATTAATACAAACGTATTTTCATCCCTGTGTGGTGCAAGCTTCACCCAGAGACACCGCAGAAGGTAAAGCCTGGTGATGGGCTTCTGAAAGTTCACAGCCTTGGAAAACCCTATGCATCTGCTGTGTCTACACACATGGGGTTGCCAGGAGTCGGAATGGACTAGCTGCTGATTTAAATAGGTGTGACTGAACATTGTATGGAAATCACTCCCTTTGAGTTGATAGAGATTCTTGGGGACCCTATAGGCTAGATTAGAACTACCCCTGTGGGTTTCAGTGACTGTACATTTTTATGGGAGTAGAAAGCCTCATCTTTCTCCTTGGAGTAGCTGGAGGTTTCGAACTACAGACCTTGTAGTTAGCAGCCCAACATGTAGCTTGGTACCCATCAGAATCTCCAAATTAGTGATTTCTGCTCGAGTGTCAGGGATTGGTCCTACAAAGGCTGTACTGAAGGACCCATATCCTCTTTCTTTTTAGCTTATATTAAAATGTGCTTCCCTGCCATTCTCCATGAAATGTAGTATTGCTGTACATTGTCTTTTTTTTAATGAAATGAGCTTTATGAGATTTAATATACCATAACAGTCACCCTTTAAAAGGCTTTCAGCATATTCAGTGGGTGTTGTTTCTTTGAAGGCACAGATTTTTTTACAGTGGCTTGTTTGCTCACAAAGATTGTCCTCAGACCAGGTTTCATTACTCTGGGCTTTCTTGTACCGGACTTTGAGCAGCACTGCTATGAGAATAGCTTGGGAACACGATGCAGTTTTTTGGTACCAGCACATTGTTCTCAATGAGTCAGCTTCCTAGAAGTTGTAACCAGTTATGAGCACTTACCTCTTTCTTTTTTTTTCTCTCTTTTAAAAAAAATCATTTTATTAGGGGCTCATACGACTCTTATCACAATCCATACATACATCAATTGTGTGAAGCACATTTGTACATTCATTGCCCTCATCAATCTCAAAACATTTGCTCTCAGGTCCTCATTTTTCCCCTCCCTCCCCGCTCTGCCCTTCCTTATGAGCCCTTGATAATTTATAAATTATTCTTTTGTCATATCTTGGCCTGTCCGACATCTCCCTTCACCCACTTTTCTGTTGTCCGTCCCCCAGGGTGTAGGTCACATATAGATCCTTGTAATCGGTTCCCTCTTTCCAACCTAATCTCCCTCTACCCTCCCAGTATCGCCACTCACACCACTGGACCTGACACACACTGGTCCTGAAGGGATCATCCGCCCTGGATTCCCTGTGTTTCCAGTTCCTATCTGTACCAGTGTATATCCTCTGGTCTACCCAGGCTTGCAAGGCAGAACTCGGATCATGATAGTGGGGGGTTGGGGGTGAGGGTGATGAAGGAAGCATTTAGGAACTAGAGGAAAGTTGTATTTTTCATTGTTGCTACATCACACCCTGTCTGGCTCGTCTCCTCCCCGAGACCCCTCTGCAAGGGGATCTCCAGTTGTCTACAAATGGGCTTTGGGTCTCCACTCTGCACTCCCCCCATCATTCACTATGGTAAGATTTTTTGTTCTGATGATCCCTTCGACACCTCGTGATCGCACAGGCTGGTGGAGTACTTACCTCTTTCTAAGACTTTTCCAGGAAAGCCTGGCCACCAAGAGATACTTGGTTTTCCTTCAGAACAGAGATATTTGGAACATCCTTGCCCTAATTCCAAAATATGTTTCCTTTTATTTTGCTACAAAGTAATACTATAAAAATTTTCTAGAATATTTGAAACATAGAAAAATAATCTCATATTACTCATTACCTCTAATACGTGCAATGGGACTGAGTGAATTTGTGGGCACTTTTGGTCACATACTTTATTTCCAACTTCTGATCGATATCTAAGAATGAATATGTGCCATTACCAAAATATTAAAATGAACACTAATACCTAGTTTTATTCCAATATCAGATTATGTATTAGGCCATTATGTTGATTCTTGTAGTATCTACCAGATAGTTCTTCTAAATATGTCTCATCTGGCTTTTCTCATTTGTTTGTATGCTGCTTTACAGTTTTGCTGTCAACGGCAGCCCTTCTTATACTATAATTCTATGACATTTTCATAATTCTGTGTTGGTCTTCTCTTCTACTGCTTGGATTACTAACTTGGATGTTGCATAGAGCCTGCTCTAGATTGTTTTTTTGTCGCTGAAAATTTTTCTTCTGCTTCTTTGTGAATGATTCCTGCTAATCTAGGTCCATCCATTTTATATCTTATCCCATACAATTTGAATAGTTCCAGATGTTTTGATGCTCTTTGCTTTATATTTTTATCTTATCCCATACAATTTGAATAGTTCCAAATGTTTTGATGCTTTGTAACACCTCTTGCTCTCTCTGTCTCTCAGGCTGTGATAAGCAACTAGACTTCCTGACAGTATAATTTTTCTTCTTTCTCTGATGACAGATCATTTTCACATTAAAAAAATTATTGCTCACTACCATGCCTTCTTTATTTTATATTTCATCAGTTATTTTTTCTCCTATTGCATTAACTCATGTTACCTTTCTTCTGTTTCCCCCAGTCTCCTAACATTATTCCAGTCAAGACCCATTAGTTGCTAACTGTGGATAAGCCTCCCCAAACCAGACTCACTGCCATCAAGTAAATTCTGACTCAGTGACTCTGTGGGACAACTTAGAACTGCCCTTACGGGTTTCTGAGACCGTAATTCTTTATGGGAGTAGGAAGTCTTATCTTTCTCCCACGAAGTGGTTGGTGGTTTGAAACTACTGACCTGTGTTTAGCAGCCCAAAGCGTAACCACTGAGAATATTATCATTTTACTTGATCTCTCCAGAACATTTTAAAACCATAGATTTAGTTCTACAAGTAATACATGGAAACCTTTTTTTCTGGTAAAAACAAATCAAAATAATATACACGAAGTAAAGGCTGCCTTAGCCATGTACCTGAATATCAATTTTCTTCACAGGGTTATAATCCATTTGATGTGTAATCTTCCAAGCTTTTTTCTAGACATTTTCTTAAATTGATATAGAAATACCAAAATACACTGAATATTTTTTACTCTAGCATCTATATTGTTATGTGCTATTTTTGTCTTTAACATTTCTTAGTCTTTTCGATGTAGATATACTTTGTTCTCTTTATCATCTAAGAAATGTTTAATAGTGTCAATGTATCATATTACATTTAACTGAGCCTTTTTTGTTTTGTTTAATCTTTAAAACTGTTCTTTGATAGGCTTCATTGAGTATACTTGGTGGCATTTTCATGATTAAATCTAAGGAGTGAAATTGAGCAAATTTTTTATATGTACATTGTCCCCACCAAAAAACTATCCTAGTGTATGACCTATCAGCAAAACAGATCGGTAAACTGCTTGCTCTCTCTCAAAGTACTCTCTTAGCTTAACTTTGGTGGTACTTTGGTGGTAATGGACTTTCCTGGTTTTCTTCCTACTTCTTCAATTGCATCCTATTATTTTTCTTAACTTACTTTTAATCAACTTACCCCATAAATTCTGAGAATTCTTAGATTTCTGATGATGGCCCTCTTCTCTGCTTACTTATCTCATGGTGTCAACGGACATGCTCTCAAGTATGTGTCCAAGCTGAAAGCCTTCTCATTAGCCTCTGACTTACACATCTCATTGTCTCACAGAGACCTCCCTTTAGAACCCATTCAGACACAAGTTAAATTCGTCAGAAATGGAATTTATAATCTCTAGCATCTTCCTATCTCTCCTCAAAATATCAACAATGGAGAATTTCAAACCGGAAATCCCACTAACCTGCATCTGTTCCTCTCCTTTGATTCAGTAAGTGCATTATCACCTTTCAGTTGCCTAATTCAGATATCCACCCCCAAATTCCCCTCAATCTCCTATATCCAATCAATCACTATGCCAGCTGCTTGTGTAAAATGCCCTCCCCCACACAAGACTGTCTATTTTCTTGCTCTGTCTCCTACAGCATTCTCTATTTTTCATCTAGGTTTTATAATTCATTGCAATGACCACACAGAACTCAGAGACAGTGCTCATGATTTTGAGGTTTATTATGAAATATAACAGGTTATAATTCAGGTGGAAATGCTCAGGATAGAATTGTTTGGCTAGGCCTTCTTACAAAATTATTTCAGGATGGCTAATAAATACCCAAAGGGCATGCCCTTCTGCTATAAGACACTCAGCTCTAACTCCATGGAACAGCTAAATCAGTGCCCCGAATTAAGGACCCAGAGACACACCATTCCACAAAGTTAGCCTCCTGCCCCCAGCATTCAGCTCTACTTGCTTTGTGGGCTTGGAAATCCACTGGTCTTTTTCATGTTATGGTTCCTTGTTCAGATGCTACTGCTGTTCCTCGGACACTCCTCTGGTGTTACAGCTTCCTAACGCCTCGACCCTTTAATACAGTCGCTCGTGTTGTCGTGATCCTCTGACAATAAAATTATTTTTGTTGCTACTTCATAACTGCAATTTTGCTACCGTTATGAATCGGACAACCCCTGTGAAAGGGTCTTTCAACCCCTAAAGGGGTCGTGACCCACAGGTTGAGAACCACTGGTAGAGAAGATGAGCCCCCCTCCTGGATCTTGCTGTTAGAGAAATCCCCATCCTGCTTCTTAGAAAGCTCATTTGATATATAACAGTAAGGCAATCACAGTGAATCCTGTTAACAGCCACTCACATCTGAAAACTGTCAGTATCTTCCTGTACGTTTCCCTACCCAGATTCATCAGGAAAAGGCCATTTGGTGGGAGTCAGAGAGACTATGGCTAAAAGATCCACATTATATAATTTGCTGCCCTAAAGGATCTCTCAGTTCTATCCAGTGCTCTCTATCCTTAGTAACCTATCTAAACCACCAGCATCTGTCACCTGAACAGTTGCATTACCCTCCCAGCCATCCTGGAGTCTCCATTGGTGAACTCTACTGTGAAGCCAAAGTGGCCAACCTGTAAATCTGATCACATTATTTCCTTGAAATCTTGCTGTGACT